AGCAAGCAGGGCAGTTGCTCAGGGCCCCACGCCACAGGGGGCCCTGCAAAGCTAAGTTGCTCAGGCTTTGGCTTCAGCCCCTGGGTGGTGGAACTTGGAGCCCTGAGCTTCAGCCCCAGGCGGTGGGGCTTTGACTATTAGCGGTAAATATGCCCAATGGTCTGTGATGGGATGTTAGATGGGGTGGGATCTGAGTTACTACAGAGAATTCATTCCTGGGTGCTGGCTGGTCAGTCTTGCCCACATGCTCAGGGTTTAACTGATCGCCATCTTTGGGGTCGGAAAGGAATTTTCCTCCAGGGCAGATTGGCAGAGGCCCTGGGGGTTTTTCGCTTTCCTCTGCAGCGTGGGGCACGGGTCACTTGCTGGAAGAGTCTCTGCGCCTTGAAGTCTTTGAACCATGATTTGAGGACTTCAATGGCTCAGACACAGGTTTGATACAGGAGTGGGTGGGTGAGATTCTGTGGCCTGCGTTGTGCAGGAGGTCAGACTAGATGATCATAATGGTCCCTTCTGACCTTAAAGTCTACGATTCTATGATTCTGCCCTGGGCCCCAGCAAGTCTAATGCCAGCCCTGCTTGGAGGCCCCCCTGAAATCTGCTCGCGGCCCCCCCAGGGGGTCCCGGACTCCTGGTTGAGAACCACCAGAAACCCTGGTTGAGAACCACCGCTCTAGGAGAGTGAAATTCATGGACTTTGTTCAAGGAGCTACTCATAGAAGATTGAGGACGACTAGAACTCAGCCCTCAGCCAGAACACTGGGCACGTTCCAGAAGAAGTGCTACTCAGCTGCCAAGGTGGAGTAAGGATTGCTACACCTGCAAATCACGTGCACCTCATGGATCCATGAATCCGAGGACTCGGGCCCACATCCTTAAAAAGGTAGTTAGGCGCCTAACTCCCACGGCAGTTCAGCACCTAAATACCTTTGAGTCCGCAAGCCTCTGGGGCTACACTCCTGCTTCTTCCCCAAGTCATTCTGCGGCTTTTGTCTTTGTGGGTTTTGTAAGCTGAAAATAGATACAGGAAAACGCGATTGTGAAACCAGAAAACACGGTCCGGCCAGGCCGCGTGTACATGTATCTGTGAGAGGCAGGAGCAGGAACCAAAGACCGCTTTCTTTTTTGTTATTGACTTCATTTCAACATGACCATGTCCCTTTAAATAGCCAAATACATTCTTAAGAATAAAACGGTGCAGGCCCCCACAACCAGTCAGACGGCAACAGCCCCTCCGCCACGGCCTAGAATCTTTTTCATCGCGCATTTCATCGCTGCTTCCCGGCTAATTACTGCATTCTTCTAGACATCCTCAACAGGCACCATAAGCGGACATAAAGCCCAGCATTGTGCATGTTAAAGTCAATGACAATCCTCTCACTGAGGACAATATTAGACCATTGGCAGGGCAGTGGAATAAAAACCTGAAGGCCAAGTTACAGGAACAGCTATTCAGCCCAGCTCAGAATAATGACACTGTCAGAGGCCCTTCCCTTCCAGGGATGTCTCCCCCCAGCTCATGGTTAAGTAGGTGACTTATCTCCATTATAAATCTGCATAACAAAATGCTACACCCAGCGTCATCTTTCATAATACAAAGAGGCGAAAAGCAGAAAGAACGACGCCTGCGCCGAGGACCCAGATGCTTCCTGAACCCGACTGCAGATGACTTCCTGAATATGAACCACAAAAACCACAGTATGCTCCCCGAAGAGGCTAACCCGTGCCGTGCTCCGAGAACGAGATCTGTTAGATCCTTCAAAGAAGATGGTGGCTATTATTACAGTAAGCGGCTACCACAAATCCTTTTCTGTACACTTCAGGTTAGAACAGAGACATTCAAACATACTATTCTCCAATCATCAGCCAGCAAGAGAAGAACCACCAGAAAACCAACGCTGCATTGCAGCCTCTGCTCTGGGACGGATGCTTTCTCGCTTCTGGCTCCACACAAGCCCATTGCAAATAACTCCAGAGACCAGCTCCTCTTAAAGCCCTGGTCAGTTTTACATTGGTTTCAAAGGGAGCAGGAGTGGGCCCCACATGTTCTCCCATACATACGGAGAAGGAAACACCATGCATGTTCCCCGTTATATTGCAAAGGCTGCACCAGAGTCCTTAACATGTTGGTATGTTACTTTCTTCTAAACCCTACCACAAAGCACATTTCATGCTCTGTGCCTAGATTCTCTCTTCCCCTAATCCTACTTCCTTTATGTCCAGGTAGGATAGCAAGCCACCTACTTTGTTCTGCTCGTTTAGCAATCTAGCACTGCCAACTCTCACAATTTTATCGTGAGTCTCAAGCTATTTGGTATTTTTCAAACGTCAGGCCCCTGAAATTATATTATGCGAAAAATTCAGTTTTCATGAAAAAAACAAAAAAAGTTTATTGCCTTGAGGGTTGCAAAGAGCTGCTCTGCTATGTGAAACTTCAAGACACTCACCTCAGAAGCCAAACAAAAAGACCCCAAGTTTGTTATTTTTTAAATCCCATCTTTTAAGCCAATCTCACAGGATTTTTTCCCCCTCCGGGGTGACACCTGACTCATGATTTCTGAACGCTTCGGTCGGTAATCCTGTCCAAATTGTCTCTTTACCCAGCAGGATGAATATCTGCTAACAGGGTGGGGGTGCGTCAGGTGAACACTGCCAGCCAATTACACGGATAGGAGAAACAGGTAGCAACACGCCTTCTTTTCAAATATTGAGGGACATCGTTTTCCACACCACCCCTCCGTTGTAGATGCTGTAGCCCCATTTTCTGAAGGCTCCTGCCTTCTCCCGCATTCAGCTGGCTTCAATTATTCAGGGCTACCCAGGCTGATAATTACACAGTCCCGAGTTGCTGAATAAAACTGATGCTTAATTAGCCAGCAGGAAAGATCGATTAAGATACAGCAGGGCATCTTGCAAAGTTCTTCAGCGGGACTGTGGGGAATAGAATCCGGCTGTGCCCTTCCAAAGGATAAAACATTGCGTCTCAGGGACTCGGCTGTAGTTTTATTTAAACCGGATGCTTAGACCGGTCACCCCCCGAAGTTTTATCATCAGATCTTAACTCCCCCAGTGCTACGGTTCACATCCTATAAAGACAGCACTATCGCCAAGTTCTGGAGCGTATCTCCAGCTGAAAACCATAGGCAGAACTCATCTATCTTAGCCCTCGCTGACTTTTCTCCATCTGTGCGATTGCAAGGGGAAGAATTTCCCCCAGCAAGTCAGCACTGGACACGTTTGTTTAAACCCCAAACAGAGTAATTCACTTCACACTTTGGCCCTGTGCCACATTCCCGAACCCAAGTATCCTCAAAGATTTGGGAATCCTGGAATCCAAATTCAGAGCTAGCCCTGAACTTTGCAGATGGTAACCCTTGTCTCTGTAAAAGGTCATAACCCAGGAATTAGACACCCCTAAGCACTAAGGCCTGGGCACACACACACACAGGCTCACCAAATGAAATTAACAAAAGCAAGTATTTCTTCACACAATGCACAATCAGCCTGTGGAACTCCTTGCCAGAGGAGGTTGTGAAGGCCAAGACTCTAACAGGGTTCAAAAAAAGAGTTAGATAAATTCATGGAGGATAGGTCCATCAGTGACTATTAGG